TTTGTTTATCTGTCTGTCAGAAGGGACGCCGACTTCAACATCAAGCGGGACTGGCACTGGTGGTTGGTTGGTGGAGGGTCGGTTGTGATACATAAATACATAAATAAATGTATATATATATATTATATATATGTATTTATTGAATGATTTTTATATATTATAGAAGGAGGTGTCAGGGTATTAACGGAGCACTCGGTGGCATTGACCCCAAAAAGCAGACGAATACCCTGACATTTCCTTTATATTTATTACCCCTCCCCTTTTTTGATGTTGATGATGAATATATAATATACTATATATGACTGATGCCGCCGATGTTGTTGGTGTGGTTTGGATTGGGTGGGCGGGAGTTTTTGACAGAATAAGCATAAAATCTATCAACCCTCACTGGCATAAAATCTATCAACCCTCACTGGCATAAAATCTATTTTCAACACAAAGACCCAAAAATACTTAAAGACATACCGCCTTATATAATTAAGAATTGAATATGCCTTGCTATATGTTTATAGATGGAATTAAGCAAGAAATGGACGAAGACCTTTTTGACCAAATGGCGGAAGCACTACACCAATCCAGCAACCCCCACAATCCACCAAACCCCACATCTACGAGATGGAAACCGGACGGAACAAAAATCAAGCATACATGATCATCTCCGTTCATCATTTCATCATCGGTCATTATCGATCATCAACTTCACGAACGTTTTCATCATCATTTCATATAATAATACATCATCATCATCATCATCACCATCATCATCATCATCATCATCATCATAATCATAATCATAATCATCATCATCATCACTGGGGTGGTGCTGGAGAGGTCTGGAGAGGTGCTGGGGAGGTGCTGTAGAGGTTTTGGAAAAAGGTAATAACAGGTAAGAATAGGTAAGACATGTATGTATATGTATTTATATGATTGTATGTATATATATGTATGTTCATTGCCATTCTTGGCACCGATCAAAAAAAAACAAATGGGGAATCATGGGCTGGGGAGGTACTGGGGTGGTGCTGAAGAGGTCTGGAGAGGTGCTGTAGAGGTGCTGTAGAGGTTTTGGAAAAAGGTCATCACAGGTAAGAATAGGTAAGACATGTATGTATATGTATGTATATGATTGCATATGTATATTGTATATATATATATATGTATGTATGTTCATTGCCATTCTTGGCACCGATTAAAAAACACATGGGGAGGTGCTGGGGAGGTGCTGTAGAGGGTGCTGGGGAGGTACTGGGGTGGTGATTACCTTTTTCCAAAACCTCTACAGCACCTCTACAGCACCTCTCCAGACCTCTCCAGCACCACCCCAGTACCTCCCCAGCACCCTCTACAGCACCTCCCCATGTGTTTTTTTAATCGGTGCCAAGAATGGCAATGAACATACATACATATATATATATATATAAATATACAATATACATATGCAATCATATACATACATATACATACATGTCTTACCTATTCTTACCTGTGATGACCTTTTTCCAAAACCTCCACAGCACCTCTACAGCACCTCTCCAGACCTCTTCAGCACCACCCCAGTACCTCCCCAGCCCATGATTCCCCATTTGTTTTTTTTTGATCGGTGCCAAGAATGGCAATGAACATACATATATATATACATACAATCATATACATACATATACATACATGTCTTACCTATTCTTACCTGTTATTACCTTTTTCCAAAACCTCTACAGCACCTCCCCAGCACCTCTCCAGACCTCTCCAGCACCACCCCAGTGATGATGATGATGATTATGATGATTATGATGATGATGATGATGTGATATTATATGAAATGATGATGAAAACGTTCGTGAAGTTGATGATCGATAATGACCGATGATGAAATGATGAACGGAGATGATCATGGATGCTTGATTTTTGTTCCATCCGGTTTCCATCTCGTAGATGTGGGGTTTGGTGGATTGTGGGGGTTGCTGGACTGGTGTAGTGCTTCCGCCATTTGGTCAAAAAGGTCTTCGTCCATTTCTTGCTTAATTCCATCTATAAACATATAGCAAGGCATATTCAATTCTTAATTATATAAGGCGGTATGTCTTTAAGTATTTTTGGGTCTTTGTGTTGAAAATAGATTTTATGCCAGTGAGGGTTGATAGATTTTATGCCAGTGAGGGTTGATAGATTTTATGCTTATTCTGTCAAAAACTCCCGCCCACCCAATCCAAACCACACCAACAACATCGGCGGCATCAGTCATATATAGTATATTATATATTCATCATCAACATCAAAAAAGGGGAGGGGTAATAAATATAAAGGAAATGTCAGGGTATTCGTCTGCTTTTTGGGGTCAATGCCACCGAGTGCTCCGTTAATACCCTGACACCTCCTTCTATAATATATAAAAATCATTCAATAAATACATATATATAATATATATATATACATTTATTTATGTATTTATGTATCACAACCGACCCTCCACCAACCAACCACCAGTGCCAGTCCCGCTTGATGTTGAAGTCGGCGTCCCTTCTGACAGACAGATAAACAAATATGTATATGTATATGTGTATATGTATATGTGTATATGTATATGTACATGTTTATGTATATGTATATGTATATGTATATGTGTATATGTATATGTGTATATGTATGTGTATATATATATGTATATATGTATATATGTATATATGTATATATGTATATATGTATATATGTATATATGTATATATGTATATATGTATATATGTATATATGTATATATGTATGTCTATGTGTATGTGTATGTGTATGTGTATGTGTATGCTGTGTATGTCTCATGTCTTCTCATTCGTTCTCGTTAGTTCTTAGTTGTTCTCATTTGTTCTCATTAGTTCTTAGTCGTTCTCATTGGTTCTCATTAGTTCTCATGAGTTCTCATTAGTTCTCATTTGACTCATTTGTTCCAATTTGTTCTCCTTTGTTCTCATTAGTCCTTGGTTGTTCTCATTTGTTCTCATTCGTTCTTAGTTGTTCTCATTTGTTCTCATTAGTTCTTAGTTGTTCTCATTTGTTCTCATTGGTTCTTAGTCGTTCTCATTCGTTCTCATGTGTTCTCATTTGTTCCAATTTGTTCTCCTTTCTTCTCATTAGTCCTTCGTTGTTCTCATCTGTTCTGATTAGTTCTTAGTTGGTCTCATTTGTTCCCATTAGTTTTTACACTCAAGGAACAATAGATGGAGCAGTGCGTTTTTTGGTTTCAGTAGCAGATGGAGAAAAAGGTCAAAAAAAGCACCAAAGTAGATGAAACCGACGACTTATTTCCCTATTAAAGGTGACAAATTGCCGAGATTGTCCAAAAAATGGTCCGATACATGTCCAGCTCTTTCCGATACCATTCCTGCCTTCCCACGCCCCCCACTCGATTAACTATGCCCTTGTTCAGGGCTAGGCTCTTATGCAGAGCTCAGTTACTGTAACCCCCCCGCAACTATGCCCTTGTTCAGGGCTAGAGGCTCTTATGCAGAGCTCAGTTAGCCCCTCCTCCCCCCTGCACATCCTTAGTCGCCTTAGTGCAAGCAGCAAGCAAACATGCAAGGCACAAGCAAGCAAATCACAGTCACACGTCACACGTAAGGAAACGTCTCAACTGCCAAAGTAGATGGAGCAATCGTGACCCTAAGTTTTTTCTATAAGGAAAAAACTGTTATAGTAGATGGAGCATCAAAAAGTTGCCATTCCTTCTTTATGGGCTGGAGAGTAATCGTTCTCATTTCTTCTCATTAGGCCTTAGTAGTTCTCATTAGTTCTCATTCGTTCTCATGAGTTCTCATTTGTCTCGTTTGTTCCAATTTGTTCTCGTTTGTTCTCATTAGTCCTTGGTTGTTCTCATTCGTTCTTAGTTGTTCTCGTTTGTTCTCATTAGTTCGTAGTCGTTCTCATTACTTCTCATGAATTCTCATGAGTTATCATTAGTTCTCATTTGTCTCATTTGTTCCAATTTCTTCTCGTTTGTTCTCATTAGTCCTTGGTTGTTCTCATTTGTTCTCATTCGTACGAAAGCTTGTTCATCACTGCTTTCAATTATAGTATACGTTGACAAAATATAGTGTACCTCTGCGGCGCAACCATGCACCTGTGCGGCGCAGACACTATATATTTGTTTCATAATGGGGCAAGGTTTATGTGTATGTGTATGCTGTGTATGTATATGTATATGTATATGCATATGTATATGTATATGTATATGTAGATGTAGATGTATATGTATATGCATGTGTGTATGTGTATATGTAGGTATGTATGGATGTATGTATAGGTGTTCCTGTCGCCATGTGATGATACTAAAATTCCAGTTCTGATTGATTGTTTGTTGCAAAGAAATCATTTTTCAAAATCTTGGGATTTCCCAAATATTTTACAATTAGTGTATTATGAAATTTGATATTCACATATATTCACATATATTTACTCTAAAATTGAGATACCTGGATCTGATGGGATTTCCCCAATACCTTAAAATTAATGTATTATGACACCGGGGTACCCCCCCAATACATTAATTAAGTCATGGGGATAGATAAATATTTTTTTTGTAAAAAAAGAGAAAACGCAAACACCGGTATGTGACGAGGTATGTTTGGGCGGAGACAGGCTATGCTCATGGGCCCACGTTGGGGCGCACCAGGACGTGACCTTCAAGCCTTTCTGTGTCAGACCAAACCATTGCCTATCAATTTGCTGCGTGCCAGCTCTGACAATTTTGAAGAAGCGGTATCAAGCATATTCGAAGTCAACATGAACGGCAACATCATGCCTCACCCCACCCTAATGTGTTGAGCTGCTGTCGAACAACATGAAGAACCACAGCCTGTTTGACTTGGCTCAAGCACCCGAGCAAAAATATCAATTACCGTTTCTGAGACTTGCACACAGTCCCACATGAACTTCAATCAACACAAAAGGGCAGAGGCATACGCCTTCATGAGCCTCATTCTAGCACACTTGTGTCTACTGTCTTAGCTGCCTTAGCCTTATTTGACCAATGTTTCATACTTCAAAGACACACCCAGAAACAAACTATACAGTTTCCTGTGAATTCCGAGGTGCTTTGCCACCTTCGCAACCGCTCGCGCAGGCGGCATGGACTGGGGACTCTGAAACCTCAACTCAACACAATTCAACATCAACACCCTTATCTAGCGAACAGTCGAACAGCCAGATGACTCTTAGGAAACAACAACATCAGTAACATCAGCAATACATTTTCGGCCAAAGTACTCTTTCTGTGCCATGGACGATGTTGAAGTCTTTCGCAAGGGGCGCTCCAAGGGCCTTGGTTCATCAGCACGTTCCGGAGACTGCTTACACAATTGCATGTCAAAAAGAGAATATGATCCGGCTAGGACCCCAAGGGGCAACTCAGCTTTCTTTCTTGGGTATTGGAAGGTCTTCAACAGCATGCCTATGATGGCACAACATTACCAGTTACCGTTTCTGAGACTTGCACACAGTCCCACATGAACTGCAATCAACACAAAAGGGCAGAGGCATACGCCTTCATGAGCCTCATTCTAGCACACACAGACGCTTTTACACAGAGATGCACAGAGCAGCTTTTGCACACAAACGCCCCCAGGCTTTTACGCACAGAAGTTTTTACACACAAGCTTTACACAGAAAAGCCTCTACACAGAGCATCTTTCAAACACAGAAGCATTTACACACAAAAGCTTTACACACACACACACACAAAAGCTTTACACACACACGCCTGTACACACAGAGCTTTTACACACAGACGCTTTTACGCATAGAAGCTTGTTCACAGAGCAGGGTTTACACAGAGCAGCTTTTACACAGAGAGAGGCCTTTGCACAGAGCAGCTTATACAATCTTATACACACAGAAACTTTAAACACGCAAATGCCCAAGCTTTTACACAGACAGGTCTTTACACATAGAGGCATTTACACAAAAGTTCTTCACACAGATGCGGCAGATGTTTCTACACATAGAAGCTTTTGAACACAGATGCCTTTCCACACAGAAGCATTTACCCAGAGAGGCTTTGACATATACACGCCTATGCACACAGAAGCTTTTAGACACAGATGGTTTTTCAGAGAATCACAGAAGCTTTGACACAGAGAAGCCTTTACACAGAGAATCTTTTACACACAGAAGCTTTTACACACACAAGCTTTTCCACAGAAGCTTTTACACAGAGAAGCTTTTGAGCACGAGCTTTTGCACACAGACGTCTTTACAAACAGAAGGCTTGTACACACAGGGCTTTTACGCACAGAAGCTTTTACACAGAGAAGCCTTTACACACAGACGCTTTCCCACAGAAAAACCGATTCCACAGAGCAGCTTTTACACACTTCAAAAAGTCGCAATTTTACGTTTTTGACGTTTGGCCATCATATCGTGCGAAGGGGTTGCATCCGGCGTTGGAAAATCGCAATTCTTGACGTTGGACAATCATTTTGCGTGAAATGGGTTGCGCCTGACCTTGTAAAATCGCATTTTTACACCAGTTTTATTTCGCGTGAAACAGTTGTGCCTGACGATCCAAAATGGATAGAGTCGCAATTTTACACCAATTCTTGAACGTTTGCATCTGACGTTAAAAAAAGCTCAGTTTTCCCACAGTTATTGCCGTTTAGCTTTCATGCCACGCTTGCATCTGAACTTTCAAAATACACCAGTTTTTGATGGTTGACCCTCATTTCGTGCGAAGGGGCTGCGCCGGGCCCTGCCAAATTTGCATTTTGCCACGTGTTTGGATGTCCGACCTGCGCGATCTCTGTCTCCGCAGACGGTTGCTGCGGGCCCAAGGACAAACAAGACCCGCATTTCGCCACACGTTTGGGTATCCGACACGCCGCAGAGGGTAACGTTTCGGAAGCCACCGCCTGGCTGTCGCTGCCGCCAGAGAGAAATAGAAGAACTGGAGAAGTCTGATTTTGCAGGAGTTCACATACAATTTGATCACTGGAAGTTAGCTGAACTCCTGTGTAGCAACTCCTGTGCAACAATTTCTGTGCAAATGACCTTCAGGCAGGACTCTTGTAGGAGTTCAAGTAGAAGTGGATCACCTGCAAGTCAACCCCTGTGTAAACAACATTTTTCAAGTTTTGTAGGAGTTCCCTAGAAGTTGATCACCTGTAGCTGATGTAGGTGTCGTTGTCTATATGTATTGTAGATGATGACGATGATGTTGTAAGTCTTGTAAGTGATGTAAGGTTAGATAGGTTTGAAGAGGTAGGTGATGTAGGGATGCAGCGATATAGATGATGATGTAGGGCATGTATGCGTTGTAGATGATGCATGTCATGTAGATGAGCTGATGGAAAAGGAGTGGGTAGGTGATGTAGATGGTGTAGGTGAGATAGATGATGATGATGGTGGTGGTGGTGGTGATGATGATGATAATGATGATGCAGGGACGATGGTGCAGAAGATGTAGGTGATGTGGGTGATGTAGAGGATGTAGTGATGTAGGTGATGACGATGCCGGTAATGTATGTGTTGTAGATAAAACATGTCATATAGATGAGGTTGATGGACAAATTTGTAGGTGGTGTAGATAATGTAGGTGAGACAAATGTAGGTGATGATGATGATGATGGTGCTGATGGTGTAGATGTAAATATAGGGAAGATGGTCTAGAAGATGGTATAGAAGATGTAGGTGATGTAAAGGACAAAAAAGATGTGGATGATGTATGTTAGGTAGATGAAGTGAAGAGTAAGGCGGACAGCAGTTCTTTGGGAAGAGAACCGTTTGCACGAGCTTCGGGCATGTTGGCCACAGTATCACAAACGCTTTTGGAAAAACGTTTTTTTCATACAGTGTTATTGTGCCGTGATTGCAGCTTGCACGCCCGACCTCTAGAGTAAAAAGGGCGGGGCAATAAACATACTTCATTCATTGCGTGTTTGGCAACTGTTTTTGTTTCTCGCTGTTGGGGATACTCTTTGGGCTTATTTTTATGGTGATTCTACTAAAAAACCATAGGAAAATGGTAATTTAACCACTATCAATGGTGATTTTATGGTGGTTTAATGGTGATCAAATGGGAATTACTCTCTGGTAATTTGTAACATAGCTATTAAACATGGCTATTTATTGTGGATTTACCCAGCTAGAAAATTGTGATTTTCCCTAGTTATGTAAACATTTACCAGAGGGTACTCCCCCTCAAAAAAAAACAAACCCATCCAAACCCCATGTCTGATGGGCTGTGAGCTACGCCAAGATGGCGAACAAAAAAAACCACGAAGACTAGCGACGAGTGAAAACATCTGTGAAGGCCCATAAAAATCGGATGACTAATCATTTTCCCCATTAAAAAATGAGGCATCCCCCATGTTGCTGCGAAATTTAACTTAAGGTGGTCTCTGTCTTGGCTAGGCTACATCCACCTCTTTCAACCATCTCAAAATTCAAATCACCCTCAGCTACGAGGTTGGAGGCAGGATAGATAATTCAAATGGCCATCGCTGGCCATGGCCGGGATGAACATCTCCATCCCAGTGATGTGAAAACCGAGACATTCCATGAGTAAACTGACCCACATGGCAAGTCGCAAGGGAGTGGAGCCATCCTCACACGCCTTGTTGGCCGTCGCCTGGGTCCAAGATGGGGAAAGAAACTTCCTCAGATGCAGCATGAATCCAGTGTCTATTGTGGATCCATGAATCATTCCAACAAAATCTGGATTTATAATGCGCTATATGCGTTCCTCACGTAAAGGAAAATTACTTTACTTCGTGTGATCCCCACCATGACATTTATACATTTTCTTACTGGCAAATCTTCTGGCATTCTATCTGACATATCTTCTGGCATTCTATCTGGCAAATCTTCTGGCATATCTTCTGGCATATCTTCTGGCATTCTATCTGACATATCTTCTGGCATTCTATCTGGCATTCTATCTGGCATATCTTCTGGCATATTATCTGGCATATCTTGTGGCATTCTATCTGACATTTGATCTGGCATTCTATCTGGCATACCTTCTGGCATTCTATCTGGCATATCTCATGGCATTTTATCTGGCATATCTTCTGGCATTCTATCTGACATTCCATCTGGCATATCTTCTGGCATTCTATCTGTCCGTTGAGGTCCAGCGGTGCACACTGAGCTGGGCAGCTCGCAGGTTGACGTCCAGCAGTGCGCACTGAGCTGGGCAGTTGGCGAAGAGCTTGGCGACGAGTTGGCAAGGTTGGCAAGGCGGAAGTGGAGGTGGAGCAAGGCGGAAGTGGAGGTGGAAGAGGCGGAGGCGAGGAGGACAGCGAGGAGGACAGCTAGTCGAGGAGGAGGAGTTGGAGGCGGGCATGCGCTCTGATAAAATCTAACAACCCTCACCTGGCAGGTGGGGAAAAAAGAAAACAGGCAAAGGAAGAATATGGAGACATTTATCTAACAGAAAAATACAGGTTGATCAATGATTAAAACTAAAATCACCGTGTTATATACATACATGCATATATATATATGGAAAAAAGGCAGAGGTTGCATGATACATTATTATTTGGATCACATGAACAACTCCACTGCTACGTAGCTGGGACCTCGTCCAATAAGAGTACACAGAAATAGCCATTGGACACAGCTGGATGGTCAAAAAATATGGCAAAACGAGCCACGCGACGCTATCCAAAAAAAATCCCCCAGCATTTTGTGGCTTGGTACGAGGCTTTGTCCAAGAAAAATGTGTACCCTCTGGAAATTGAACATAGCTATTGAAAATGGCCATTTATGGTTGATGTACCAAGATTTACCTATAAAAAATTGTGATTTTCCGTAGCTATGTTGGTTTACCAGAAGGTATATGGATAGCATTGTACACCCCAAACTGGCAAACGTCGCAAAAAACAACAACAAAAACCGCAGTCCCAGCCATAGCCCTGGCCTTTGCTTCCAGTAGACTTCGCACCACTTCCAGGTGGTTTTGTTGGCACGCCAGGCGCCTGAGTGCGGCCCATGGCATGAAAACCAAGCTCCAACTTTATTGGGAGACGGGGGTCACATTCGCCCCTGAAAGAGGGTCACATTCGCCCCTGAACCACAAAACTCTCAATGTGGTACTCAACCCTTTAGGGTTAAACCTGGGGACAAGGGGGCATTTAGGGGGACTGGGGAACCTTTAGGGGGGACTTGGGGGCATATGGTAACTTGCCTCTCTATTCAATATGTTACTCAACCCTTTAGGGTTAAACCTGGGGACAAGGGGACATGTAGGGGGACTGGGGAACCTTTAGGAGGGACTTGGGGGCATATGGTAACTTGCCTCTCTATTCAATATGTTGCTCAACCCTTTAGGGTTAAACCTGGGGACAAGGAGACATTTAGGGGGACTGGGGAACCTTTAGGGGGGACTTGAGGGCATATGGTAACTTGCCTCTTTATTCAATATGTTACTCAACCCTTTAGGGTTAAACCTGGGGACAAGGGGACATTTAGGGGGACTGGGGAACCTTTAGGGGGGACTTGGGGGCATATGGTAACTTGCCTCTCTATTCAATATGTTACTCAACCCTTCAAGGTTAAACCTGGGGACAAGGGGACATTTAGGGGGACTGGGGAACCTTTAGGGGGGACTTGGGGGCATATGGTAACTTGCCTCTCTATTCAATACGTTACTCAACCCTTTAGGGTTTACCCTGGGGACAAGGGGACATTTAGGGGGACTGGGGGACCTTTAGGGGCATCCAAACCGTCTTCGAAGGTGCTCGAAATGGATCTTACAACCTAGCAGCCATAGTGTCCTGGAAGTTGATTGAAATGGCTCTTGGAAGGTAACATCCAAAGCGTCTTCGAAGTTGCTCGAAATGGATGTTACAACGTAGCAATGGTATACCGTAGCAGCTATAGCATCCATAGTGTCCTGGAAGTTGATTCAAATGGCTGTTGGAACGTAGCATCTGAGGCGTCTTCCAAGTTGCTCGAAATGGATGTTACAACGTAGCATCCATAGCGTGCTGCTAGTTGATTGAAATGGCTGTTGGAACGTAGCATCCAAAGTGTCTTCCAAGTTGCTCGAAATGGGTGTTACAACGTAGCATCCCTAGCGTGTTGGAAGCTGATTGAAATGGCTGTTGGAACGTAGCATCCAAAGCATCTTCGAAGTTGCTCGAAATGGATGTTACAACGTAGCAATGGTACACCATAGCATCCATAGTGTCCTGGAAGTTGATTGAAATGGCTGCTGGAACGTCGCATAGCGCGTGAATATGACTCTCTAGGGTGGAAAAAATCCTTTTGAGGCTCTGAAACTATTGCACCTGCCACGCAAAAGCAGGGGTCACATTCGCCCCTGAACGAGGGTCACATTCGCCCCTGAACCCACTTCATCGCACTTCATTCAGGGGCAAGTGCGACCCAACATGGTTCAGGGGCAAACGCGACCCCCGTGCCCTTTATTGGCGAAGGTGAACCCCCAATTTGATGGGGAAATGCCCCATTTTCTAGACAACCACATATATCTCTCTCTCTATATATATATATCATATTCTTGATGATATCCCCATTACAAACAACCGCGCTGGTTGGTTTTGTAGCCCGTGGCATGGGTTTTTCAAAAGCCCATGTCTCGTTGATGAAAACATCATGTTTCGCGATGGTTAGTCAAATCATGTTGTGATAGCCACTTTGTTGCAAGTTACCCTCTGGTTATGACTAACATAGCCATGGCAAATCACCATTTTTAATAGGTAAACCATCTATTTCTATGGGCCATCTATACCATGGCTACGTTAAATAACCAGAGGGTATAATCAGATGAATCATGTGAAATTCAACATCTTTGCTGCTTAAAACAAGCAGCAAAACATCTGAAATCCCACAGTTGTTTGGCCCTAGAGCCAGTTATAACTGGAATGGCATAACTCCTGCAACTGGTTGGTTATATACGTTATATATATATATATCATAGAATTGGCCAGTTATATATTTATATATACATCATTATAAGCCAATAGTTGCTGGTAAAGCAATAGGATCGACCCCAATTCGAGCATTTTTATTGGTGCTACAAACCATCAATCCATAGATGATGGGTCAAAAACCTGTGAAATTACCAGCTATGACTGGGAGAATCACCATCAACCAGCTATGACTTAGGGCACCATCTGCCTGCCAGGGTTTTGACTCATAGCCATATAACTAAGGAGCCATTCATAGCCATATGCTTAAAAACATTTAAAACTATGAGCTAATAGCATTTATAATTAGCGAAACTAGCCCATCCATATGGCTGGATGAAAAATAAGTTATATATCATGGAATAAGCCAGTAATATTTACCATATTTATATATACATCATGGAACAATTTTTATTGGTGCTATAAACCATCAATTCATACAAGGTGGTACCCCCCAGTTATAAGTTGGTTTATAAACCATAGTAAGTATAGATATATCTACCATAAACCATAGTTATTGGAGTTATGTTCACCAACTTAGCTAACTATGGGGCACCACTTTGGATAAATGGTTATAAATGGTTTGAAATGGGGCTATCATTCCATGTTTATGGGCTTTATTTATACATCATGGAACCATATATTTATTGGTGCTATAAACCATCAATTCATACAAGGTGGTTTATGACACTTTTCTTTACAAATACACCAGCGCCGAGGCGCAATGGTGTGGCATCCTGCTCCCGGTCCAGCTCATCTGCCCTGCCACGCTGCGCCAGAAGCAGACGGACCATGTCCTATGCGCAAGGCGTCCGGCGTCAAGAAAGCTTAGGGTTACCTCGCAAAACTTGGCCAAGATATGGGAAAAAACATGAAACAAGAATAATAATGGGGAATTAATAGTGTATTATAAATATGTATAACTTATATGACCTACAAATGAAATATGAAGAATAATGGGGAATTAATATGTACTGTATATATATATAACCAACTATAATCAATCTGGCGATTGAACCAGTGATTTTTGCTGCGGATGGACAAGCCATCCTGCACCAGTTTGTAACTATTGGTGACTGTGAAACATTGTGTATAAATAATGGAATTCGAGTGGTATAAACCATCTACCAACTGGTGCAGGATTTCTTCCCTCCGTAGTATGGAAAAAATAAGGCAAACATCGTATATAATTTGATTAAAGATCTTGGAAAAATCTTCATGTTGACCGGATGGTTCAGAAAAACAATGTGGACAAATTCATGCAAACCGGCAAACATCTAGCATTTGGAGCAGGAAAATGGGCATGTTACCCAGCAAAATTTAGGACTTCGGGCAGTGCTTCTTCCACCCTCCAGGTCAGATGTTCATTCACAAACCTGTAAGGTTTGTCAATGGATTGGTTTGTTGGGGAAAATCTTCACCGGAAACCATCGATTTGCGGATTAAATATACGGGGCTTTCCTGTAAATGTTCCCTTAAACCAATCCATTGAGTTTGTCTTTTGTGTTATAATGTTGCTATACCTTCCGGTAATGACAATGGAAAGTCCACCATAAAATCATATGCGGGTCATCATCCAACATATTGTGAAACTAAGATTTAAAAACATCTTTGAAACCACCAATGAGATTGAGTTGTACTCAACGATCCGTTCCCAACTTGCTTTACCACTATTTCTGATTGTTCATTCTCCATATGTGGTTGAGTCAGCCCCCTTTGAACCACCAATCAGTGAGGTTCAACCCGTCATTATCCTAATTCCAGATGCTAGTTAATTGATGCGTTTCTACTAAACATGCCAATCAATTGGAACCCATTCTGATGTTAAGAAGAATTTATAGCCGCTATAGCCCATTTCAAAACAATAAAATCACCGATGACTGGTTTGGAAACAGGCCAACCATGATGTTACTTAAGGTGAAGCCCCCCCAGTTGTGCTTGGCGCTTTGTAAACCCGTTGGCCCTATGTTGTATACTGGCCATCCTGGCCCTATATCAACCTACCCAAAGAAAATCACCAAGGCGACGCCGCAACGCCTGGATGACTTCGCTACGTTTTTTTTTCACACATCAGCTCTGGATTCCATGGTGACCATCTGGTTATGACTAACATAGCTATGGAAAGATCCACCATGCTATAAAAACGGTAAACCATCTATTTCTAAGGGCCATCGAAAAACCATGGCTAACTGTTAGTCATAACCAGAGGCTAAATCCCATAGTAAAACCACCATGGTTACCATGGTTAAGTCACCGTGAAACCACCATTTTTTATTTTTTTCTTCGTCAAAAATCACCCGTTTCCAATGGTCAAAGCTTCCAAAACCTCAGCTTTTTGCCAAGTGGCAGCAGCTCCATGGTAGGATGCCAGATGCAAGGCCGGTGGAGCCTGTCAATGGTGATATGAATTGTGATATGCGGAGATGTTGATTCACATATAACAGGCCACAAGCTGGCATATCACCTAAAACTCAAAGTTTCATGTGGTTTGGGTTACCTCCCAAAACCCAACAACGTTGTTTAAAAAGCAAATATGATACAAGATCTAGCATGTCGTTTAAAAAACAACCAAAATGCTTAACCATTAAAGAACATGAAAACACGTGCGAAATGCATATCATGCCAGCATATGACCCCCTCAATGAATGCTAATTACATCAATTCAATCCCTGCATTGGTTGATTTGGCTAAATCAGAAATGATTCACTAGCCCAAAAAAAGATGATTACATTTCCCTTAATTAGCTATGAGTGGTTACTTCCCAAAATTGCTTCATGGGTGGGAAACTTGAAAGCGCAAATCCCTATCTCCGGCCCAGAACCTCGTTTCCGGTCGGATTTTCCCTGCATTCATCACCCCAGTTCGATTTCAGTGGCATGTTTCGAAAAATCCACATAAATCATCTGGTTGGTGGTTTCAACCCCTCTGAAAAATATGAAAGTCAGTTGGGATGATTGTCCCATATATTCTGGAAAATAAAAAATGTTTGAAACCACCAACCAGTCATCATGGATCCCACTCTAAAATTCCCCAAAATCCACATAAATCCATCATCAATCCCCTCCCGGGGCGAAAAAACGCCCAGCCGCCTGGTGTTGATCCGCCCTGGCAGCAAGGAGGAGCTGAACGATTTCCAACTCACCGGCTTGGCAGGCCACCTCTCGTCGTCACTGCCAGAAGTCGCGTTTTTACAATGACCAGTTGACATAGTAAGCCCCATCTTTCATAGAATAGTATGGAAAAATAGTATATAGAATAGTATGGAATAGTGTGGATATATCTGTCATGAAGCCGAAATTCTTGGAGTTATATATGCACCAGCTTTGCGTTCATGAATCGCTTTTGGCATCACCGGCAGTATTGGGCCGGTGATCAAAATGCAGCGAAAACCCTGGCGTGGTTCGTACTTGCGGTAATCAAAGCCATGGGAAATCCACTGTAAATGGAGGCTTCAATAGGAAAATCATCTATATAAATAGCGGATTTTCAGTTGCCGCGTTTGATTGCCAGAGATTAGTCAAGATGTATGGGAAAAAAACATGAGAACACACACCTGAAGTCTTTGAGTTTGCTTTGAAAAACCGCAACTGCAAGATGATCCAAGGCCATCAATTCGGTGATGATTGGAGAGGAAGTCATCATGGTTCAAGAGAAGAAAACAAGCCCTTCTGAAAATTCAGAAGGGAGAAAAAACACTTGGCAGCCTGATTTCCAATATGTACGGTTGCTAAAAAAAAAAGGTATAACATGGTATAACCATAGAATGCCCCAAATGAAATGTTTCATCAGCCCGATTCCCGATTAAAACAGCCAATAAAGGCCATAAATTGGGAGTATATACATTATATACGGCAACCTCCGACCCCCGGTTGCAGACACATCTATTTGGATCGTTCAGCAGCCTGAAAGAAGTCGGCAAGGGGTTCGATCATTCGAATTCAGTCAGATTATCCCCATAAAATTCACATGATCTTCCAATGTACCACCATATTCTCGTCTGTTTTCCAATTTGTGGATTCATTCCAACTTGTTGATGGTATATAACCTATGCATGTTTTTCCCATTATAAATGGGTATTAGTTTAACATAATTTAACAATATAGATATAAATACCCTCTGGTAAACTAACATAGCTATTGAAAATCACCATTTTTAATGGGAAAATCCACTATTAATGGCCATTTTCAATAGCTACGTTAAATTACCAGAGGGTAACCATCATGCCCCCATTATCCACATCAGATCCCATGTTACCACCTAAAATTATCCCCCGTCGATTCTCATCTCCACGTGGCATTGGAGGATCACTCCACTTAATAAATGATTAATAAGCCTAGTTAGCAGACACTTATGTGGGGGGTTCAATAAATGGGGGTACCCATTTATTGGATGGTTTAGAATGGAAAAACCTATGAAAATGGATGGTTTAAGGGTACCCCCATTTCAGGAAACCTCCATATGTCAATAACCCACGGATCTGGGACTTACTCACCAGGGTTATAGTAACCAGTTACGATTCGTGGAATGATCCTCCAAACATTGTACGGTTGTGGATTTTAACACTTAAAACTGGCATATAATGATGTATAACCGTAGTTGCAAGAATTATTTCATCCCAGTTGAAACCCTCTTAAGGGCCTTAAACCCAGACCCTCATTCCATGTTATTCCTTGTATTATAATCCCATATAGTTAGTTTTATCCCACTAAGTGGTTTCGAATCCTCCCAGCATTGTACCACTGGTTCATTGTTTCAATTTTTATCCCGCCTGCAACGGCCGGTGATCATTGTACCTTGCCGAAGGAAGTTCCAAGTTGGCACGTGCTTCCAACAATAAGCGGCAACATCCGACCTCGGAGGGTCGACCTTCCAATGGATGGTGGGAAAATAAATGGTAAATGCTTAGTAAACGGCCAGTAACTAGTAAATGGTTAAATGGCTAGGACATGGTTGGAAAATACTTTGCAAATGTTTCGTAAATGGTTGGACAATGGTTGATACATGTTGAGAATGTGGTTGGTAAATGGTGAGAAAACGGACAGAACATGGTTGATGAATAGGTAGCACGCGAACATTAAGACCTCAGGGCATATACTTGAGTTGTTTCGTTGGCAAATGTAATGTAAATGGTTGGTTAGACGGTTATTAGTTATTATTGTAGGCCTCTGCCAAGTTACATTGTTGTTCTGGAAACGACGATTTTCTTGTCACCAAACATTTTGATGTATCACCCACGTCACTCGTCCTATTTCAATTCCGTTTTGATCAAACCATGGACAATAGCAATGTTCAATAGCTACATCATTCAAAATTGGGCCAAATTTGGGGTATGTGTGAGAATAGGGAAGGCACACACTTTATGGCCATTTCATTGCGTTTCAATGTTTTATCAACCGGTGGAAGTGAATTGTCCCGTGTTTTGGCCCATTTCATTGCGTTTCAATCCCTGTGTGGCGAAATCCACAATGTCGATTCCATGTCGTTGGCGAAATCCAGTTTCTGTGACATCACTCAAATACAAACAAGCAGATCTGGCTGCACTGTTCAACCATTGACTTTTGTAACAATGTACCCTCTGGAAAATTCAACATGGCTATGGAAGATGGTGCCCGTACACTTGATTTACCTGTTATAAAAATATTGATTGTCTATAGCTAGGTTCGGTTGCCAGATGGTGTATCTACGCACACACACACATATATATATACATATTTACATGTGTGTAACTATATAATTGGTACAGTAGTAGCATATACAGTTGATCGATTTCCACATACAGTATCTGTAAGTTTTCTTGAGTTCACCATTCACCAGCTCTGCCGAGAACGACCAGCATGACCAACACTTTTCCAAGGCGCGCTACCTGAAGCCGCTGCGCAATGCAGAGCTGTGTCACCATCAGCACCTCAGAAGACATCATCATGTGGTAAACAATTCGCCATAAGAGATGTTAATTGATATTGTGAATTAGGGTGACTTTGTAACCATATAAAATGTGCTAACACATGATTTTACATCATTTGTTACCCAATTCACCACAATAAGGATATAACTTCTAAACTAGCTATAGTCCATGGGCTTATATAATACTGCTACGGGATTCACCCAATGTCAGTAACCATCACTTCATTAGAGCTAGCACCATCATCAAAGGAAGTTTAGAAGTCAAACTTCCGATGGACAGATGAAGCAGCAGAGGTGCGAACAGTCAGAGAAGAGAAAGACTCAGTAGACAGAAGATCAAGGTGTGCGAAAAGATAGGAAAGCCGCGAAACCTTGCAATGTTTTGTGGCTCCGGAGGGCCGAAAAGTAGGCTTGCTAAAGCGGCGGGTACGGAGCCATCTGGTCACAGGAGAGATCAAAAATTGCACGCTGCTGTGGCGCGAAGCACATTTTGATGTCAAAATGCTAAAAACACCTCAGCTCCGAGGGCAGTTGAGATGTTCAAAAAGTGCAGCACGCCGCTGTGGCACGAAGCACATTTCGAAGTCAACATGCGCAAAACACACCATTCTTGGAGCACTTTTGGAAGTTGCGATGTTCAAAAAGTGCACGCCGTTGTGGCGCGAAGTACATTTGGAAATCTGAATTCTATGAAAAAGTATTGTATTATATACACTCTTGTGTTCCCTCATGACAATACATGGTGATACTGATACTCATACTAGTACACCAGTATTTTTGATCGATGCATCAGTGCATTCTAATAGAAAAAAATAGTATATCAAGACGTCCATAAAGTGGTAAATCCATGTAAATCAGCCATCCCCAAAAATCACAATTTTCAGGGGTACTACAAATAACCATCTCTAAATGATAGGTTTATTGTTAGGTTTCCTAAATTATAAGAAATTCATTTCGATAAGAACTGTTGATATTCGTTGATCATCAACGTCTCCTGCTGTAAGATAGCCATAAATTGGGGTGACATCTAATATGTGTTGTTGGCAATATCAGCAATATCTCCATTATTTACCCGTCATATTCTATACTAATCCATGTCTATACCCATTGATCCCCAACAAAACATGTAGTGTATCCCCCCACAACAACATTATATTCCTAATTAAAACAACCTCATCATTAACCGCAAAACCCTTTATACTATTGCTTGAATCTGGTTATATTCCACTGATAACCCTGCTCTATCCAACAATGGTTGGTTTACACCCCCTTGAAAATGGAATGCAATAAAAATGGATGATTACCATGAAAATTGATGTTTGATCATCACATCTCATCCTTGTTGTCTAAAAACTGGCCAGGAATGGAGCGAGTCCATGATTGTTGGTATGGGTCAAACAAATCACTACCTTCCCCCCAAAAAAACACCATATTCATAGTAAAAAAACAAAAACAAAAACAAAGAAATCTGCACCCACAAACTATGACCATAGTACAACAAAAACATTAAGAATCTAAGTTAAATCTGCCATAGCCTATGAACCATCCCCATTTTTGGACGATTTTACGGCCCCTTGAGCCATGAGGGGCTCACATCTGGATCCATGGGCAGCTGCAAGAACTGCTCCATCTCAGCCGCGACATCGCGGCGGGCCACGTCCAACCTGGGGGATGGGATGATGCGGTGGAAATTTCGTCCACTGAAATGAGGTTAGAAGATGTTGTAAGTAATCTTTATAGAAGGACGACCATAGTATTCTTTATCTTGTAAGTAATCTTTATGTTGTTATAGGTTATCCAATTATCTTTATAGAAGGAGTATGGTCTAGTGATAACTCTAGTGATAACACAATTGACCAGGAGAACGAGAACTAAGGATTGAAAGTGTTGTCTTGCTGATACGAAATGTAAGGTGGTAAAGTTATCATGCAAATGATGATTAGTAGTAATAATTACTGTCTAATTTCTAGTAAATCCTAGTTGGCCTATAGATAAACCAACTAACTTATCTAGCGGGGCCCTTCTTGCTATGGTGCCAGTAAAAAACGGGTGATCTTGAACTGTTATATAATGACTCTTAGAGAACAACAGTATTAAATTCATGGATGCAAAAACCCAACTCACCCTTGAAGAAACACATGCATGAAAACAAACGAGGGATGTTGACCAACGATTCTTGGCTGAAAGGATGTTCACCGATTCAAAGGCTGAATGTTCAAACAAATATGCGTATGCAACCAGGCCAAACATGTGGAAAATACATGAAAATACCAGCCAAACACCTCCAAAAACAGCATCTGAACCAGACACTTGGCCTTGGTTCTAGAAGGGGAGGAAACTGGGGCCGAGGATCCCCAATCGTTGTTGCAGCTGAAGGTTTCTTTCATCATTGCTGATTCAAATACCCTCTGGTTATTTAACAGTTCGCCATGGAAAATCACAAGGTTTAAAAGGTAAACCATCTATTTCTATGGGCCATCTATACCATGGCTATGTTAGTCATAACCAGAGGGTATATTCAAATATGAAGTTCTGGATTTTCTTCAGTTCATAACACCAACCTCCTGGGCATCGTTTTTAAAAATGGAGGTTTTAAAGAACACCAGGCCAGCGCCCAGGCCAAGTCAAGGGACACATAAATCATCTGCTCCCGGGTCATCTGTTGGTACCGAGAAAGCACCACCAACTGCCTTAGCTGTCTGAGATCGTCTAATGTCGCTGAAGCCCATCCCGAAAATGCCCTGAAACTATGGTGCTGGTACTCATTTGTTATATGGCTATGAGGAAACAAAATCGATACCTGGTAGTTCACACCAAAATAGCTGGCAAATGTATGTTCATTCGCCAAAGTTCAAGAGACCTATGTCTGGTGACGTTGTGTAGAAAAGTTGAGGACATCTTGAACAAAAATACATAAAACATAGTTATGTAGGTCTAATCGCCTAATATGACTGCTTGGCTTGCCGAGTTTTGTTACATGCAACCTCAGAAGAATAGTCTTGTTCGATGTATTTGGCTGCGGTCTGGTATGGGGCTGGTGAAAGCTTTGTAGCACAGCCGGTTGCTCAAACCAAACGATATTGGTCCAGACTTTGAAATCGGAAGTCAGCCAGCTGCTGGCTGGTTTGAGATTTCACATGTCAACACTCCGATCTCGCGTAAAAAAAGCAGTTACAAGTCCCAAATGTTCCCACCAGGACTGGTTGGTGGTTTTAACCATCTTGAAAAATATGAAAGTCAATGGGAAGGATGACATCCCATATATTATGGAAAGTAAAAAATGTTCCAAACCACCAACTAGTTGTATATAGCAGAATGTACCCAACCCTGTCCCACTTTTTTAGGTCACGAAGTTCAGAGCTGCACAGCCACGGCCGGGCAACAGGGCTTCGGGCAGCGTGAGCTCCTCCTCATTCTTCAGGACGTCGCTGCCCCGCAGGAGCTTCAGTTTGAATCTGGGTTGATGCACCAAGGGCACCAAACGTCTCTTCACCTGGACTGCTTGGGCCCCCAAAAAATATGGGTGTGTCTGAAAATAATGTACCCCTAAAGCCAATGGTTCATGATCATTATCCCGTTTTTAAATGGCTATCATTGGGAATATACCCTATTTTCAGACACACAAAAAATATGTTTTTTGTTCGGTTTCTGGTGGTTTGTTTCACTAGGCGAACTGTGGCTAACTGGGATTTCCGCTGGATCTATTCCAAGTTAAATGGCTTTATAAACCAACAAACCAACAGAACTTGGGGGGGCCATTCCTGTGAATCCATTGCTTTGAAGACATCTAACCCTTCTGAAGCCTCCCACCTTGATGAATTAAAGTACTAAAGTATGTTAATACAAAGTTATATATACTTGTTCTGAAGTAAGTTATATTTAAAGTATATTAAAGTATGTTCGTTGTTGCTTTACAGACGGGTGTGTCCAAAAAGGGAGGAACCAAACACATCCCAACTTGTTCCCATGCTTCAAAACTCGGGAATATGACTTTCTCAACCATCAGAGACAATGGGTTATTCTACTCTATTAACCGCCCTGTCTTTGCTCAATCCATACACGGTGCTGCCCCTTATGCTTCAAAAATACATCTGTTAACATCTGCTAATATACCCAAGAGTGATGTCCTATAATTATAGTATATAGTAATATTATAAATCAACATTTAGCCATATATTATAATATGACTATAATAATATATGATTCTAACATATGGCTTGTTGGTTTCATATGAGCCATGTTCAATACTCACTATATGGTTGATGGTCATCCCATCCATAATAAGGATCCTTATAATGGTTCTAATAAATCCCTATGAACCATTGGATGACTAGCCCCGTTTTTAATGGTTATTAACCATGAGTATTGACCATAGCTCATATGGAAAAATAAACTCTATGGATCCAAACACTGTCATATATTATAATATGACTATTATATATGATTCTAAGATATGGCTTGTTGGTTTCATATATTATTGTTCCCATAAACATCCCATTTCCCCAGCACCTCCCCGGCTCCCCACAACCACCACGTCGCCGCGCCGACGCTCACCGCGTCGCAAACGTCCAGCTCGGCGGCGCGGAAGCGGCCGAGGACGGCGCCGCTGGAGAGCCACTGCACCGTGAGCTCCGGCGGATCGGCCATCGGTGGCCATGGGACGATGGAAGTTTTCTGGGTGTTCTGGCAGGTATGAGGATACTGCATGTATAATATATATAATATATATATATGCATATAATATACATATTATTATATATTATATTATATTATATATATACTATTGATTTATATGATTTTCTATGGAGATAGCTCTATTTAATACCATCAGATGTTGTTGGGCATTTCAATGGGCACATCAATGGGGGATGGATCGGGAACGCCTTAGAGGCGAGGATTTTGACCTCAGGGCTACTGAGGGCTGAGGATTTACCGTGGTGAATCAATATGGTTTATCAATCAATGATTTTAAAAAAGAGGTGATAAACCATTGATAAGATAAACCTCTATGACTTAACACCAGGCACAGATGATAAATGCCATTAATCAATCAGTGGTAAGTCATAGAGGTTTATTTTTATAAATTTATTTTTCATCATGCTTCATCAATTTAAACTCGGATGCTGCAAACACATTCAGCAAACACATGCTGTCTCAGACAATCGGGTGTTCTTAAGATACAGAATTGGGGTGTTAGACAGATTTCTGAGAGTTCGATTCTACTGCGAACTCTTGAGCAGACCCAGCATCGGTGAGAACATGCTATGGATGTCTCAAATCATCTTAGGGTTTGATATCAATCAGAATGGTCCTTATCCTTCTCCCACAAGTCCGCTTGTCTAGGTTGCTCCGGAAAAAGAGACCTGGTGGTTCAAGAACCCTGAATGTTCCATCTATTGCAATATCACGAAAAAAAAATAGTCCTCCCATTTGTCCTTTGTGAAAATATGTTAATATGCTGGGTTTCTACTGACGCTGGCTGGTAAGAATGTTGATCTACAGCAAACCGATGATGTTGGCTTTAGACCTAGCCCCTATGGGAACAAGGAGAATGGGAAGCAGGAGACCAACAAACATGATCGCTACAAGCACCTCGTCAAATCCAGGATCCCTTCTGTTGGCTCCGGTCCTTTCTCGTTCTATCCCTATAGCTGTATTGCTTACATGATTACGAAGCACAATAATCACGCGTACGGTTGTATTTTCATTGGTTCTATTTACTGTATATCCTCTTTATTGATGAAATCGCCAATTAAACTGCGGGTTTCTGCTTCCCATGTGCATTGGTTTGTTTTTCACTCGCGCAAGATTGCCTAACCCATAAAAAAAAATATGTGATTTCCCACTACATTCCCAGAACCATGATAAATCTACTAGAAACTCCCAAACAATTTTCACACATCCAAGATCACATTAGGTTATTAGGGGATATTAGTTCTATAGTACGTGGATTGATGAATGGATGGTTAATGGCCGTCTCGTTTTTTTTATGCCAAATATAGTGGGTATATGTGTTTTGTCCTAAAGTGTGTCCTCAGTTGGTTGAGAACCAACCAATGAATCAGGGACCCTCCAGTAGTCAAACATGGCTGCAAAATCCCGTACTTATAGATTATCTTCCCGTTCTAAAACCTCCATTTATCATTTGTGGATTGCAAGACATGGTTCCTTCTGTTGCATATGTTCCAGGATCTTCCCATCGTTGGGGATTTCCAATTGCTATCCTTGATGACCAGAAAATAAAAGCCTTTACTGGTTGGTGGTTTTAAGCATCTTGAAAAATATGAGTTCGTCAATGGGAAGGATTATCCCATATATTACGGAAAATAAAAAAAAAATGTTTGAAACCACCAACCAGCTTTATTTATGATGGAATGTTCCATGTTTTTCCCATGATTTTCCCATGTTTTTCCCATGATTTTCCCATGATTTTCCCATTTTCCCATGATTTTCCCATGGTTTTCCCATGATTTTCCCAGCAAACTCAACCTCCACATGGCGCCAAGTTCGGGGATTTCCCAGGGGACGGCACCCGCCCGGCGCCTGGTCGTCGCTTCCGCGGGCCGCCGCGAACTGCTCCAGCATGCTGCGCTGCATCGCCAGCCAGTCCTGACGGCGAAGGGCGCCAGATCCATGGGACGTTGAACAAACAATGGGTTTTATATAGTATTCATGTACTTTTGATGAATAGAATAATGAATAGAATAATGAATATAATAATGAATATAATAATGAATATAATAATGAATATAAGAATAATGAATATAATAATGCATATAATAATAATAGTGATAATATATATATATATATATTATAGTATTTATGCTCATGATAATCCCATGTAAGACTTATGTTCAACAAAAACACTGATTTATAGTGATATATATATATGAAGAAACTGATGTTTTTATGGTTTATATGTTTTGTTTATACACTTTCACCAATGGTTTTATGGATAAGTGAAGCATATATATATTATACCATGAAACAGTGATCTATAGATTCACAATGGTATGTAATAGCTATAAAACTGGGAAACATTGTTAACGAATCCCATTGTTACATCCATTACCCATTGATATATTGATATTGATAAGTGAAGCAAATGAGAAACATATGGATTAATCAATTTATATATTCACAATAGCATAAGTAATAGCTATTCCCGATGGATCCAAGTATCTTCTTAGGAAGCGGGACTGGGGTATGATTTGGAGGGTGATTTGTACCTTCTCAGACAGTGTTTGGATCCATAGGGATTATTGTAAACAAAACAACATTGATCACAATAGCATACCCTCTGGTAAACTAACATAGCTATGGAAAATCACCATTTTTAATGGGTAAATCCACTATAAATGGTCATTTTCAATAGCGTTAGTTTACCAGAGGGTAAGCAATAGCTATAAAACAACGATTGACACATTGATCCAATGGTGTAAATGATCACTTCTTTCCAATGTTTTTAATCCAATGATAAGGCAAGATCTTCATCATATTTTGGCTTGATGGTCATGAAAACCATTGGACAAATGATGATAAACCGTTGGATAAATGGGGGGGGAATATGGATATGAGTCAACGATATTGAATACCTCAATAATTAGATTAATACTAAAGAAGTACGAAATGCTGTGGTCCCACAGGGCTTCGATTTTGACCCATATCCACATGGGAGACATCACCAATGGATTTATTTTGGACGTTTATATTTTGAATAATGGGACTTATCATTTTTGTTACACAAATTGAAGCAATAGGATTTCTATACTTTGAAGAATGCTTAGATGTATCTATATAGAAGAAACTGACTGGTCCAGAGGACAATGGGAGGAACATTGGGACCCACAGCTGTGGGGCGGCCAAGAGAAAGCTGGTGATAAGGCACCAAGACAAGGCCGAGACACTAACCAACTCAGCAATCCAACCAGCTAAATTGGTCTGAAAAAACCCTAAGGGAAACCGCCCACATCCATTTAAGTTCATCATCATTAATCATTATTCCATATTATCTCCCCATATCATCCCATATGAATGATCATCTATAAATGATCATATATGTTCCCTATATGTTCCCTATATGTTCCCTATATGTTCCCTATATGTTCCCTATATATTCCCTATATGTTCCCTATGAAAATCACCATTTTTCAGCGGAATCAGCCCCTGAAATTTCTCCAGACACACCACCAGGCCAGGCCGGCCATCTCTCGCTGCCAGGGAGCTTCATCGCCATCCACTGCTTCACCTTCATCCGGCTGCACCTGTCCTGACGCACAGAACTTAAGGATTTTTCGTTTGGGTTGAGAATATTGGGGCATCAGTTGGATCCATCATTGGTCCAGTGATGAATCAAGTCGTTCACATATTAATCTATAATTATAGATAATGATTTATTATAGGTAATATGTATCATTATAGATTAATATTATATAATCATTAACATAAAACTATAATTGGTATACATATTATAAAACTATTATATTCGTTTACCCAATAATGGGACAATAATGGCAGGATGGTCTCTTTACCATGAGGATCATGATTACCCATCATGGGATAGTTGATTGGCTGGGAAATCGTCGAAGTAAATGAAACTTTGGGTGGGAATATCATCTATAAATAGGGGATATACCCTCATTTACTAACTATCTGGCAATTGAACATAGATATGGTATAGATGTCCCATTTGCTTGCATGATTTGTCTTGGAAAAATGATGACTTTCAGTAGCTGTATTAAATTACCACAGGGTACTAACATTAATTCACACGATCTAACTAGTCATTGGTAGTCATCGGTGCAAACCGCCCATCATGACTTTAGTAAACTTCAGCAGAAATGAGTGGGTTACTAGACCAGTTTTGATTTAAGGTTGATACCTTGGTTTAACCCATGCTTTGAAGATCTCTAAAGAATATGTATACTTAGATTCGATTAGGCATTTACCAGCAAAATGCGAATGAAACCATTTCAGGAGAACAAACCATGGGGGATATACCGTATGACACTCCAACAGCAACCATGAAAATCGGTTTATTTACAATATACGGATCCTATTTCCGTTCATTGTACTTTCAATGCAATGCTGGTGATTTCCATCAGGTCTACCATGGCCCAGGCGGATTGGGTACCTCTGGGTACCTCCCAGCCGTCCTCGCCCTGCTTTCGCCTTGGCCTTGGCCTTCTTCGCTTTCGCCATGGCGCTGTGAAAATCTTTCGGGGCAAACGAGTCGTTGGAATCTGATCACTGGAATGTGAGAAGCTCAACACGACAAATGATTAAAATACGATGCTTCAGCTTCTCCAGTTCCTAGGATTGTTTGTATACGAAGGTTCCAGATTCCAGAATCTCCAGTTTTCCGGGAATCAAGACATAGAATCTGGAGATTGCTGGGATTCTAGGAGTCTAAAACTTTGCTCTGTCAACGCAATCCGCAAGGCTTCTGCGAGGTGGGTATGCCAGTGATGTTTGTTGCTGCATGGTTGCATTGGTTACCCAACATCAGATATATCATATCATATATCATATCATATATCATATCATATATATATATATATACAAATATATAAGAAACATATATATATATATGTATATATATACTATATACACATATCATGTAAATTATATGGGTATCATATCACATTATAAGTTGACAGTTGGATGCTGG